ACTAAGCGTACTAAAGTGTACTATGTACTAACTCGTACACCTTTTTCCCGAGTGATTTCCCCCCTCGGGGCCGAAGGCCCGACCATCGCCACCGGCAAGGCAAGCAGGCCCGGCCCCTGCCAAACGGAGTTTCCGGCGGAGCGAAGCGGAGCTGGCAATTCCGTTTGGCGGAAGGTCGGGCCTGCTTGTTCCAGTGTGGAGTCATTTCTACAGGAAGGCCAACAGATGACCAGGGTTTCCCTCCACATGGTTGAGTACCACGTCAACACTCACTATGAGTTTGAGGCGAGGGCGGAGGCCAAGGCCACAGTAGAAGGCAGGGGAGGGGGTGGTAAAGGCTGGGGTACGTCAAATCGCATCCACCCAACACAACCACCCACCCGACTCACCGGGTGTGGGGACCCACTAATTTACTTATGGGAACTAATTTGTGATCAGAAGAAACATATTTAAATCTCATTTATCATCTTCGAGCATTTATGAGCGATTCGCCTAGTATGAAGAAGAAAAGAAGAACATGGCGGCGCGGTGGCGGCGCGTAGCGCGGACCCACAATAAAGCAGAAGCTCCGCCACGCGCGGCGCAGCGCTAGTAGCGGCATTAGCTAGATCTGTTAGTTTAGCTCGGATTTCGATGCGGTTTTTTGCTTCCTATAGTAATTTTTCACGCCCGACACGATAGTACGCTTATTTTTAACATTTGAGAAGTGGAAATACCATAATTAGAAGACCGATCTGTGGTATTTACGGGCTATGATTCATCAGCCGATGAAGATTAATCATGTATTCCAACTCGAGTTACATGTTTTCTCAAGTAAGGATACAAAGTTCTTGCAAGGTTAGAATCTTTTAAGGGGGATCAGGACAAAATTTTGTCAATTCTAGGGCTCTAAAACCATGTGTCCTGTAGGGATATGGTGAGTGTGGGACTGTCGACAGGGTAAAGCATTTAACTATTGGTCTATTGTGACCATTTTCCAGGCTCAAAAAGTATCCTGACTCTCAAGGGTTACCCTGAACGACAATTCTAGTAAAGTGTTACAAAACAGTTAAAAATCTTGCGCGCAAGGTTTCTCGGTTATGGTTTGCACTACAACGCTGAAACTTTTCCTGTAAGTTAGCCACATGAATACCTAAAACTTGTCACATGATTTTCTTGATATTCTCAATTGTTGATTTTTAATGACAAATTTAAGGTTCATGACCAAAATCATGCCGTTTTCACCTCTATAACATTTTCTAAAAAATCAATGGGTAGGTATTTTGAAAAAATCCTGTGACAAGTTGTTGAAATTACTGTAAAAATGAAGCCTGCAAAGTTTCATAGCTGTGGCGTTAAGGGTGTAGGAGAAACTCTGCGCGCAAGGTTGAAAAGTAAAGTTCAGAGAAAAACGCATCTAAAGTTGGCGTTAATGAGCAATTTCAGGTTTGACTCTTCACAAGAAAAAATCCCACGGTCACAATTTTTAGAATTTCTTTACAAACTTAACAGCTATAGACTCAGGAAGAGTCAGAGAATTTAAAAAAAAATAAAACCGAAAATCATTTTTTTTTTGTCCTGACCCCCCTTAAATAAATAAAATTCTTTTCATTATTATTAATTGTTATTACAGGCTGGTCGGCCAAGGGGTCTCACCAACCTTGGACAATCATGCTACATGAATGCCACAGTGCAATCCCTTATAGGGACAAAATTTAAGGACTTTTGCCTGAGCACTGCCGCTTTCAGCCATCTAAAGGGGCAAGTGTTCAATAAGTTTCTAGAAGTGGTGTCATCGCTGATCCATTTAATACGGTTGAATTTGTGGTGAGCATTTTCATGCACCAAGAAGTATTTTCTTACTTTATTGTGATACTTAAGTAGTTGTAAACATGTTTGATGTTTTGTTTCTAGACTGTTGTGGAGAATTTGTCTCCTTTCAGAAGAGGTACTCAAATGGATGCACAAGAATTTTTGACCTTTTTCCTGAACTCAGTTCACAATGAGTTGATGGTAAGTCTTTTAACTTGTGAATGGCATCGGAGTTACTGCTTGATTATTATTCCTGGATATTTATTGCAGATTGGGATTGATCAGCGTAGTGGTCCCCTCACAGACATTGATGAGCACGGACTTGATGAGGTAGTAAAGAGCCACTGGGAGAAGAGGAGAAACACCTCACCTATTGCTGAGCTCTTCTACACACAAATTGTCACTCTGATGCAGTGTCCAACCTGCCGTTATTCCCATGGCCAATTCCAGGATGTTAATCATTGTCTTTCAGTACCTCTGCCACCACCATCCCCTGATCCCTGGGTTACCAGCAATCCAACCGTCACAGTGAGTACATATTACGTTGAGTGTGAACTGAAAACAGAAGCACAACCTACATGTATACTGATGCCTCATTAATGTCTATTATTGTAGGACTGCATAGCACAATTCTGCAAGCAACAAATCCTTGAGGATGGGAAGTGCAGCAAATGTGAAAGGAAAGGGTTGCAGCATCGACTCCTTTTGGGTAGACTTCCACCCATTCTTATTATCCATCTGAAAAGGTACACTTGATTTTTATTATGGCATCAGCACTGCATGGCAGTTTTATCATATTTGCATTGAATCGGTGGCTGTATTCACATAATGACAGGTTTGCTCGTCACTTTAATGGGACCATGAAAAAGGTACACACTGATATCAGTGTATGCACTGAATTGAATCTTACCCCCTTTACACTGTGTGAGGAGCAAAGCAGCATTTACCGTGTGGTGGGAGTGACTAACCACAGGGGCAAGTTTCTTCATGACGGCCATTACACCACCATAAGTCAAAGAGGAGACCGGTAATAGTTCAATTTCCCCACCTAAAATTTTTAATTTCTTAAAGATTTCCTGAGTGGTCACAGGTTTTGATTCCCTTCTAAAAAAATGAGTAGCTTTCAATTCATTTGCCTTTAAGCTTCAACTAGAATTGTTTCATTGCAAGTACTTACAGAAATTTTTAAGGATAGCAAATGTGTGGCCACCTATTTACCTTTTGAATGTAAGAGTTGTATGTAATGACCATGGTCAACATTTCCAATTTTGTTTTTGGTAGCTGGTATCACTTTAATGATACTAAAGTTTCAAACACAACAACAAGGAAGTTATCTTCTGATGAAGCATATCTTGTGTGGTATGAAAAAATAAATTCTGAAGGCAATCTGGCTTCAGAAACCCAAAATATCATAAGTCATTTCTCCCAGCAAAATTCAATCCCAGTGACTGCTGACCATCAGTCAAACCAGACAGAGCCAGTGACTGACAATCTTCAAACAGAGCAGAGACAGCAGGTCCTAATCAGTGCATGTCCCTTTTATGCAATTTAATACAATGAATTTTATGGTCAGCCTCACCACAGTAGAAAATTTCATTACCCTTTTCTTTTTATCTAGGACAAAGAGGTGGACTTATTTGACACTGATGGGTCACTGGACCTGTTTACACAGTCTGAATCATCCATAGAATTTTCTGAAAAGATAACTTCCGACTTAGGAACTGAGTGGGAAGCTCCTGATTTGCTTCAACCCGTAAGCTATTGTGACTTTACATGGCTTTTGTTCTCATGTGTCATATTTGACATTTTTTTCCTCATCCTCTCCAACAGGTTACATTCCCTACCAAAGTTGATAATGTCGCAGCAACAAATAAAAGAGCAGCTCCACATACATGTGTAAGCATACCTACATAGTTATCAAATATATATTTTTTATCTATTTCTATGACATGATGCCTTTCTTAAATATTTTTAATGCTTCAGAACACGACTCCTGACCCCAGTCTGACTGCTATGAGTCAAACTCCTCCATCTCAAACACAGGGACCCTCATGTGACCATCCCAATTTGGGCTTAGATATCATTGATCCACAACTGTTCGAGGATGAGGTCCCTGGAGCAGAACTGACTGAAGTGGAATTAGAAAACTGCCTAAATGATGATATGAAACGGTGGCTTGCATGCAGACGTTTGCCTACTAAAGGCAAGAGAATTGCTCTGAAGACCAGGTTTGTAATACATTTGTCTTTTATTGAATTTTGTCGTTACTCAGTAGATTGCAGTAATGTCTAAATTGTACTTTCCAGGATCCTGAATCACATGCGAAGAAAAGTGTCAAAACTAGTGTATCCTGGTGTTGATTGTGGGAAATGGTACGAGTTAAAAAGGAAGAGATTGATGGCTCAGGTAACTTTTCATTATTTGGCCAATACTAGCATTGGATTCAAGACCTTCCAAAAATCATGGCTTTTTCATTCATTGCAGGCTCAGCAGACCAATGCCCGCTTGGTTCTAGTAATGCCCTTGGGCCCATCACTTTTCAAGGCATTTCCCAGTGCGCACATCCCTAATCAGTATTCTTCATTGAAAGCGAGGGCGTACTTGGACCTAGTTCCAGAAACTAGATTCTCGTATGAAAATGGTGTTGAGGCTGTGGAATCAGAACCCGAAACGCAGGGCCTCACGGATTTCTCTCAGCCCACCCAAAGTGATCGCAAGAATATTTTTGTTAATGGTACGCTGAGGCGGGCAAATGTTTTCATTGATAGTGGTAGAGTTCTCACAATGAAAGACTGTCTCAGAAATGATCACTATTTTGTGAAGGCAGAGGTGCAGGCATCCTACGTTAATAAGATTTACAATGTGACAGTCACTATTTCAAAGAAGAGTGGGTCAGTGTGCCTTGCAGAATGTAGTTGTAAGGCAAGGGCACTTGGGCGATGCTGCCATATTATGGCTGTTCTTCTCCTCATTGGTCGCCATGTGGAGAGTCAAGGACATGAAGGTAAGAATTATTTTAATGCAGTCAGTGTACCTTAGCTTTAAAGGCCACAATTTATTCAGGCACATTTTTGACAGCTATAGCAATCACCCATTCAGAAACCAAAATAATAATTAGTAACATTATCATCAGTGTCATTTTCAGTGTTGACAATTTATCCAAGGACAATTTCAGACCTTGTTAACAATGCATCCATTCAGAAAGCATATTAATTGTTATCATTATCATCAGTATCGTTTTTAATGTATGGCAATTGAAAGTTGGCCAAGAAAGCACAGACTTTAATAAGGTCACTTGCATAGGCCAACATTGAATTGGGTATAACATACCGCACCAAGCGAAATTGTTTTATCATACCTATGAATGTTTCTACATGGATTCTAGACACAGCTATAGCTCTATTTCTTATAAGCTCTCTGGCTGTAAAATTTTCTCTATTTCCAAGAAATGCTGGCATAATAAGCTCCAAATCCCTCTCATCAAATAGGTCTTCTGCGTCAAAGCCTCTGTCAGCCATTAGAGCTTCTTCAGGGAGCATCTTTTCCAGCAGACCACTCTCTATAAGCAGCTTCCTGTCATATATGCTGCCTTCATATCCCTCACTAATATATGACAATCCACCGTGGCATGAAAGGCACACAAGAGCTTTTAATGTATTCGCACCCTTATATGCGGAGTAGGTGTTGCTTTGTTGCTGCATATGTTTGGGTCTTTGAATCTTGAACTCAGTTGAATCAATTATTCCACGTAATTTGGGAAACTTCTCGTAACATTTTGGCTTCAGGGAATTTTGAGCATCAGCTGTGGGGAACATGCTGCTTTCAAGCAACTTGAACTGCAAACTCATGAAGCGTACCCATACGCACACCACTCTGGCTGCCCAGCTGCCATGAACGTTGAATAGCACTCCTAAGTCTTTCACTGGGATCCCTCTTCTTAATCGTAGCAGTGTCATGAAAAGTTTGTCTTTGGGAAACAAATCACCTATGAATTGTTCCCTCTTGGGAGTCTTGTCGTTATATTTGTACTTCAAAGAGCCACAAACTTCTTCCCTTCCGAGAAATGTATATAAAATCTCAAACATTGTCTTGGTGAGACCTGTGTAAAACTTGAATTGATCCCAAGTTAATCTTTCTCTTGCCTCCATATAGCATAGAAAGCTCCTCTTGCACTGAATTTCTTGGCAGCGATATAGCTTTGCTTGTAACAGACATAGGAAAGAATTATTCACTGTTAAATAACTGATTTTCTCTGTTCACAGCTGTCACTTGCACTGGTCGATTATGCTATTGGCTTGCATCTGGCTCATCAGTGAACAGGCAGCCTGGCATAGTTAGAGAGAGGGGTAAATACGACAATGAGGCAAATTATTACAGAAGAGGACATTTCGGCCCTCGCCTAACTGAAAACCAAGTAGTGAAAAATTTCAAAGTCTAATTGTTGATTTCCCTACCCCCCTTTCTGTGGTACTACCAACTCCTGGACA